TCCACCCCACCTCTATCCCCACTTGCTGCTTCTATTAGCAAGAGGGGGGAGTGGCTAGTCAACTAATGTGTCAACTATCGATAACCTTTTGCTTATCGGATAGTCAACTAGTTGCTTCCACCCCTACCCTAACTGTATCTCTTGTTTTCTTAGTTTGTAAGCATTCTGTACTGTATTCAGAGCTCCTAGTGCTGTGTGATATGAGGGATGCAAAGGGATAACCAGTTAACCGTTTCCCTGGTATTGGCTCAACACTAGGGTTCCTATCACTCCAGTAATAAAAGTAATGGCTCCAAATTTGACCTAGTTATAATTTCCTGAAACTCTGCATTTTACAAAGCTATGTGAGAGGCCAGCAACTGATTTCTCGGAGGATTCCATCTGCACAATGCCTTAGAGGACTGTATGTCCCATTTTGGGCAGGACAGTCCCTTTTTACAAGTCCTGTCTTGGCTGTACCGACTCTTTTTTCCACAAAACTGGGTATTTATCTTGTTTATCTTTCCTGTCTTCATCAGGCAGCAACAGCAAATGGGCCAAATGCCCACTTTTGTCAAAACAGTGGTGTCTGGTGTATAGGAATATTCAGTGGGCAAGCAGCAATGCTTTGCAAGGACAGGGGAAACAGGGCACACGTGCAGTGTCCAACTTTCCCTTTGGGAAATACTGTCATTTTATCCATGCCCAAAAGCTACCATATGCTACCCAGACCACTCATGCACCGTCCCTATGAAGCTTCTAAGCTCATTTCTTCCCAAAATTGCAGAGGTTAAGCAAAAAATTTTCTGCAGTTCCTGGGGGATGCTGTAGTTCTGATTAAAAGAGCTGAGAACGCAGGAAAGCCTTCCTTCTCTGAGCAATGAATTAGCTAGAACCCACTGACTGAGGCAAGGGTCCCATGGAAAATATTTAATTTAAAATTATATCCTAACACACACACAACTGAATTGTGCAACCTTAATTATGGCATTTTTAAATCTTTGAGTGCTTGACTTAGCAACTTCAATATTGTTTTATTATAATTTTTTGTATGTCATTTATATACAGTACTGGTGAGTACTAGATGCTTTATATACAAGGTCTCTTGCTGCAAAGAGCTAATGCTTAACAAATGCAGTGTGAACAGTGCGAGCTCTTCCTGGGGTCTGTGAAGGTTGAAAGGCATTTTCCAAACCATGGCAAAACAGGACTGAGATTTACATAAACTCTCCAGATGAGGAAGCAGAGGACAGCTTGAAGTTCAACCATTTGCATATTGCTTACTGCCACCAGGAAGTTAGCTGGCAGTCATAAACAATCTTCCAGAATCCCCATCACAAAATCATACAGCTGTCCCTGTTCATTGATAGACAAGTCTCCAGATAGAGGGAAAACACATTATGAAACATGATGAAGCACACAGTCACTGACAGCTATTCAAAGCGATGAATGGCAGCTGAAGTAGGGATATACTAGTGTACTCGATTAACTGATTAACCAATAAGCAAAAGCTTATCGGTTAATGCTATAGACTACATGCATTCCCCCCTTAGTACATTTTTTAGCAGACTGACCAGCAGCCTGATTCAGTCCCAGCTTGTGCCGAGTCTGAGACATACAGAGCTGCTGCAGGGGTATTTAAAGAGTATTAGGAGCCAGACGGGCAGGCAGCTCAGCTCAGTTCCAGCTCACACCGGGTCCAGGAGCTCAGACATCCCCATACAAGAGCTGCTGCCACTTTGCGCTGCCGCGTCTACATCAGAGGCAGCAGTGCGGAGTGGCAGGGGACTCCTCGGAAGTGGGGCCTGAGCGCACTAGCCCCATCCCAGCGTACTACAGAATAGTCGAGTAACTGATAAGAATTCATGAAGTTAATCAACTATACAATAAACTGATATTTAACATCCCTAAGCCGAAGACCCAGAGACAAAAACGGATCCCCTGTATCAGTTGAGGAAGTATGAAAGACCATTCTGAAGTTACAGAATGGATGTACTGTTTGGTCTGATATTCTTCCCCAACCTGTTCAAAGATGGATTGGGAGCAGTGAGCATCAGCCTGCAACAAATACTCTTCAAAGTTTGGGCACCTGGAAAAGAACAAACAAAACAGAGTGTTTCTCTACAAGGGCAAAGCATGGCAATTACAGGCCAATTGCATGGTTATCAGTCCCTTGAAATGTGTTTCGTCATGTTCTCCTTGTGAGAAACTGTCACCCAAAGCAATCAGGGCTCGCTGTTGGGCAGTCAACAATGAACACCCTCTCCGCTGCTGATCTGCACCAAGAATTTAACCTTCCATGTCTCACGGCATCTCTCAACAGAGCATTATTTATTTAGTTGACAGCATTTTCACTCTACAAAAAGGAGCTGTTGCCCCAGACACTCTAATAAATCTGTTGCATGGTCCCCACATCCGAGCGACACTGAATACTGGTTAACAGCTTTTCCTGCATTTCTCTAAAGCTGTGGGTGTGCAATGCAGAGAGACCTTTCCCCTGCCGCTTTATATAAAGCTACTCACTGGATATTAGGACTTGCATTTCCTCATGTCAACAGAACATTCAGCAGGGCGAGCGGGGCGGCTGCCCCGGGCCCCGCGCTCCAGTAGGCCCCGCGCCGGGCTGAAGCGGCCGCTTACTCCAGCGCAGCCCAAACGGCGGTTTGCACCGGCGCCGCTTGCTCCCGCGTGACGTCACGGCTGCGCCGCACAGAACGCAGCTGAGGGCCCTGGCAGAGGCAAAGCGCGTGATAGAAGCTCCAGGTCCTGCCCCCGAGCCGCGTAAGTCACTGCCCCGCCCCCTTCGCCTCCCGCCCTGGCACTCGGCTCTGCACCGCTCAGCCGGGGCAAACCGCCATTTGGGCTCTGTCAGTGGAGGAGGAGGCAGGAGGAGAAGAAGAAGAGAGAGAGTGAGGCAGAAGGAGAAAAGGAGAGTGAGGCAGGAGGAGAAGAAGAGAAAAGGAGAGTGAGGCAGAAGAGGAGAAAAGGAGAGTGAGGCAGGAGGAGAAGAAGAAGAGAGAGAGTGAGGCAGAAGAGGAGAAAAGGAGAGTGAGGCAGGAGGAGGAGAAGAAGAAAAGAGAGTGTGGCAGAAGAGGAGAAAAGGAGAGTGAGGCAGGAGGAGAAGAAGAAGAGAGAGAGTGAGGCAGAAGAGGAGAAAAGGAGAGTGAGGCAGGAGGAGAAGAAGAAGAGAGAGAGTGAGGCAGAAGAGGAGAAAAGGAGAGTGAGGCAGGAGGAGGAGAAGAAGAAAAGAGAGTGTGGCAGAAGAGGAGAAAAGGAGAGTGAGGCAGGAGGAGAAGAAGAAGAGAGAGAGTGAGGCAGAAGAGGAGAAAAGGAGAGTGAGGCAGGAGGAGAAGAAGAAGAGAGAGAGTGAGGCAGAAGAGGAGAAAAGGAGAGTGAGGCAGGAGGAGAAGAAGAAGAGAGAGAGTGAGGCAGAAGAGGAGAAAAGGAGAGTGAGGCAGGAGGAGAAGAAGAAGAGAGAGAGTGAGGCAGAAGAGGAGAAAAGGAGAGTGAGGCAGGAGGAGAAGAAGAAGAGAGAGTGAGGCAGAAGAGGAGAAAAGGAGAGTGAGGCAGAAGAGGAGAAGAAGAAGAGAGAGAGTGAGGCAGAAGAGGAGAAAAGGAGAGTGAGGCAGGAGGAGAAGAAGAAGAGAGAGAGTGTGGCAGAAGAGGAGAAAAGGAGAGTGAGGCAGGAGGAGAAGAAGAAGAGAGAGAGTGAGGCAGAAGAGGAGAAAAGGAGAGTGAGGCAGGAGGAGAAGAAGAAGAGAGAGAGTGAGGCAGAAGAGGAGAAAAGGAGAGGGAGGCAGGAGGAGAAGAAGAAGAGAGAGAGTGAGGCAGAAGAGGAGAAAAGAGTGAGGAGGAGAAGAGAAAAGGAGAGCGAGGCAGGAGGAGGAGAGAAGAGAGCGAGGCAGGAGGAGAAGAAAGGAGAGAGTGAGGCAGGAGGAGGAGAAGAAAGGAGAGAGTGAGAAAAGGAGAGTGAGGCAGGAGGAGAAGAAGAAGAGAGAGTGTGGCAGAAGAGGAGAAAAGGAGAGTGAGGCAGAAGAAGAGGAGAAAAGGAGAGTGAGGCAGGAGGAGAAGAAGAAAAGAGAGAGTGTGGCAGAAGAGGAGAAAAGGAGAGTGAGGCAGAAGAAGAGGAGAAAAGGAGAGTGAGGCAGGAGGAGAAGAAGAAGAGAGAGAGTGTGGCAGAAGAGGAGAAAAGGAGAGTGAGGCAGGAGGAGAAGAAGAAGAGAGAGAGTGTGGCAGAAGAGGAGAAAAGGAGAGTGAGGCAGCAGCAGAAGGAGAGAGAGGCAGGAGGAGAAGAAGAAGAGAGAGTGCAGCAGAAGGAGAGAGAGGCAGGAGGAGAAGAAGAAGAGAGAGTGCAGCAGAAGGAGAGAGAGGCAGGAGGAGAAGAAGAAGAGAGAGTGCAGCAGAAGGAGAGAGAGGCAGGAGGAGAAGAAGAGAGAGACTGAGGCAGAAGGAGAGCGAGGTAGGAGGAGAAGAAGAAGAGAGAGAGTGAGGCAGAAGAGAAAAGGAGAGTGAGGAGGAGAAGAGAAAAGGAGAGCGAGGCAGGAGGAGAAGAAGAAGAGAGAGAGTGAGGCAGAAGAGAAGAAAGGAGAGAGTGAGGCAGGAGGAGGAGAAGAAAGGAGAGAGTGAGGCAGAAGGAGAGTGAGGCAGGAGGAGGAGAAGAAAGGAGAGAGTGAGGCAGGAGGAGGAGAAGAAAGGAGAGAGTGAGGCAGGAGGAGAGTGAGGCAGGAGGAGGAGAAGAAAGGAGAGAGTGAGGCAGAAGGAGAGTGAGGTAGGAGGAGAAGAAGAAAGGAGAGAGTGAGGCAGGAGGAGAGTGAGGCAGGAGGAGGAGAAGAAAGGAGAGAGTGAGGCAGGAGGAGAGTGAGGCAGGAGGAGGAGAAGAAAGGAGAGAGTGAGGCAGGAGGAGAGTGAGGCAGGAGGAGGAGAAGAAAGGAGAGAGTGAGGCAGGAGGAGAGTGAGGCAGGAGGAGGAGAAGAAAGGAGAGAGTGAGGCAGGAGGAGAGTGAGGCAGGAGGAGGAGAAGAAAGGAGAGAGTGAGGCAGGAGGAGAGTGAGGCAGGAGGAGGAGAAGAAAGGAGAGAGTGAGGCAGGAGGAGAGTGAGGCAGGAGGAGGAGAAGAAAGGAGAGAGTGAGGCAGGAGGAGAGTGAGGCAGGAGGAGGAGAAGAAAGGAGAGAGTGAGGCAGGAGGAGAGTGAGGCAGGAGGAGGAGAAGAAAGGAGAGAGTGAGGCAGGAGGAGAGTGAGGCAGGAGGAGGAGAAGAAAGGAGAGAGTGAGGCAGGAGGAGAGTGAGGCAGGAGGAGGAGAAGAAAGGAGAGAGTGAGGCAGGAGGAGAGTGAGGCAGGAGGAGGAGAAGAAAGGAGAGAGTGAGGCAGGAGGAGAGTGAGGCAGGAGGAGGAGAAGAAAGGAGAGAGTGAGGCAGGAGGAGAGTGAGGCAGGAGGAGGAGAAGAAAGGAGAGAGTGAGGCAGGAGGAGAGTGAGGCAGGAGGAGGAGAAGAAAGGAGAGAGTGAGGCAGGAGGAGAGTGAGGCAGGAGGAGGAGAAGAAAGGAGAGAGTGAGGCAGGAGGAGAGTGAGGCAGGAGGAGGAGAAGAAAGGAGAGAGTGAGGCAGGAGGAGAGTGAGGCAGGAGGAGGAGAAGAAAGGAGAGAGTGAGGCAGGAGGAGAGTGAGGCAGGAGGAGGAGAAGAAAGGAGAGAGTGAGGCAGGAGGAGAGTGAGGCAGGAGGAGGAGAAGAAAGGAGAGAGTGAGGCAGGAGGAGAGTGAGGCAGGAGGAGGAGAAGAAAGGAGAGAGTGAGGCAGGAGGAGAGTGAGGCAGGAGGAGGAGAAGAAAGGAGAGAGTGAGGCAGGAGGAGAGTGAGGCAGGAGGAGGAGAAGAAAGGAGAGAGTGAGGCAGGAGGAGAGTGAGGCAGGAGGAGGAGAAGAAAGGAGAGAGTGAGGCAGGAGGAGAGTGAGGCAGGAGGAGGAGAAGAAAGGAGAGAGTGAGGCAGGAGGAGAGTGAGGCAGGAGGAGGAGAAGAAAGGAGAGAGTGAGGCAGGAGGAGAGTGAGGCAGGAGGAGGAGAAGAAAGGAGAGAGTGAGGCAGGAGGAGAGTGAGGCAGGAGGAGGAGAAGAAAGGAGAGAGTGAGGCAGGAGGAGAGTGAGGCAGGAGGAGGAGAAGAAAGGAGAGAGTGAGGCAGGAGGAGAGTGAGGCAGGAGGAGGAGAAGAAAGGAGAGAGTGAGGCAGGAGGAGAGTGAGGCAGGAGGAGGAGAAGAAAGGAGAGAGTGAGGCAGGAGGAGAGTGAGGCAGGAGGAGGAGAAGAAAGGAGAGAGTGAGGCAGGAGGAGAGTGAGGCAGGAGGAGGAGAAGAAAGGAGAGAGTGAGGCAGGAGGAGAGTGAGGCAGGAGGAGGAGAAGAAAGGAGAGAGTGAGGCAGGAGGAGAGTGAGGCAGGAGGAGGAGAAGAAAGGAGAGAGTGAGGCAGGAGGAGAGTGAGGCAGGAGGAGGAGAAGAAAGGAGAGAGTGAGGCAGGAGGAGAGTGAGGCAGGAGGAGGAGAAGAAAGGAGAGAGTGAGGCAGGAGGAGAGTGAGGCAGGAGGAGGAGAAGAAAGGAGAGAGTGAGGCAGGAGGAGAGTGAGGCAGGAGGAGGAGAAGAAAGGAGAGAGTGAGGCAGGAGGAGAGTGAGGCAGGAGGAGGAGAAGAAAGGAGAGAGTGAGGCAGGAGGAGAGTGAGGCAGGAGGAGGAGAAGAAAGGAGAGAGTGAGGCAGGAGGAGAGTGAGGCAGGAGGAGGAGAAGAAAGGAGAGAGTGAGGCAGGAGGAGAGTGAGGCAGGAGGAGGAGAAGAAAGGAGAGAGTGAGGCAGGAGGAGAGTGAGGCAGGAGGAGGAGAAGAAAGGAGAGAGTGAGGCAGGAGGAGAGTGAGGCAGGAGGAGGAGAAGAAAGGAGAGAGTGAGGCAGGAGGAGAGTGAGGCAGGAGGAGGAGAAGAAAGGAGAGAGTGAGGCAGGAGGAGAGTGAGGCAGGAGGAGGAGAAGAAAGGAGAGAGTGAGGCAGGAGGAGAGTGAGGCAGGAGGAGGAGAAGAAAGGAGAGAGTGAGGCAGGAGGAGAGTGAGGCAGGAGGAGGAGAAGAAAGGAGAGAGTGAGGCAGGAGGAGAGTGAGGCAGGAGGAGGAGAAGAAAGGAGAGAGTGAGGCAGGAGGAGAGTGAGGCAGGAGGAGGAGAAGAAAGGAGAGAGTGAGGCAGGAGGAGAGTGAGGCAGGAGGAGGAGAAGAAAGGAGAGAGTGAGGCAGGAGGAGAGTGAGGCAGGAGGAGGAGAAGAAAGGAGAGAGTGAGGCAGGAGGAGAGTGAGGCAGGAGGAGGAGAAGAAAGGAGAGAGTGAGGCAGGAGGAGAGTGAGGCAGGAGGAGGAGAAGAAAGGAGAGAGTGAGGCAGGAGGAGAGTGAGGCAGGAGGAGGAGAAGAGGATTGGACAATGCTTTAAGTGCACTTTTAAATACGGTAACGGATCACAAACTTAAATGTGAAGTACTTGCTGTCAGAAAGCATCTATGAACATATGAATTTTTAACCAGCCTTGTTATTTGGTATGATGTATTACTTAAATTAAATACTACCAGCAAAATTCTGCAGAAGACAAATATAGAAATGGATATTGCTTTAAATCATTTAAAGTATCTTGTATCATATTTGGAGGAATACAGATCTTCAGGATTCCAAAGTGCATTAACTACAGCCAAAGAGATGTGTGATGAATTGAACATCAATCCAACA